TTCAGCAAGCCGGAGAATAAAAGGTCAATATATAAATATTAATTGTGTTTCCACACACTAGGTATAAAAAAAGAATTTATACTGTTAATTTATGACCTGTGTTCTCACTCTGTCATATTCGCTCTGCTATGTAAATATGGGATGTGGTTAAAAAGAACTAGCACTTAACGTGACAGGCACTTTATTTATGTTTTCTCATTTTAATCTTCTGAATTTCACCGACGAATAAATAGACTTTGTAAAATATCTTCTTCAAGTCATACTATTAATTAAGGTTAAGCCAAGCTTTGAAATGAGGCATCTTCAGACAAGACATCTCCCAATCTTTATTTTGTCATAATTCCTGCAATGTCAAAATCTACTTTAACAAATTCACAGTTTAGAAAATGGTTTGTAAGCTCTTTAACTCCAAAATGTTTTATTCATTATTACTAAAAAATTAGTAAATTAATCTTAACCAAATTTCTTACTTAAGGTGCTTTGTCATCAATGTTAAATTTTAAAATAATGCTTTTTCATGTAATTATACTAGGGTTTATTCAAATCCCATCTACAAAACACATAAACAATTCACACTTTATTTTCTACCTGTTCTTTCTTGAAAGAGATCTGGTCGAAGTAAAGCCAGTGTCTTTTCTAATTTCATGCCTTTCATTTTTTTAAAATCAGGGAAGAAGATATCCATGAACTTAGAAACATTAGTTACGTCCTCTTCAACATCACAAAACTGAGATACGTGTTGTCTTTCCAGATATTCTTGTAAACTGTTGAAATCCAAGATATAAGTATTATAATCTGAAGTTTAATAACTGTGCCAACAAATTAATACTGATAGTATGTTCAAAAATTACTTGAAGTTGAGTATAACAAATAAAAATTGAATTTCATGTAAAGATAAATTGTATGTCCCTATAATATCCAAGAATATATTTAATTCAACATTTCATTGAACTACTCCAAAAACTAGTTGCATGATATCACCTTTGTTTGACTTTATGAGAGAATAAAAAAAGACTAAGATAAAATACGTTACATTTTTAAGGGAAAAAATTTTTCTTTCCTTTATGTAAAGCTTTCCAGAGGTTTTTTTCTCCCCCCTTCTCTTTTTTCTTTTAATTTTGTCTTTGAACTAAGGGTTATTCAGAAGGATATTTCCAAATATACATTTTTCGTCACCTTTTTTTATTGTTTATTTCCTATTTTACTGGATTATAATCAGCAAACTTGTGTGGGAAATTTTGAATTAAAAATTTTGTTACGATTTTCTTTGTGAACAGAGACAATTTATTTGTGATGTGTAAGGCTGTATATAAATTTATTTTTTATATATTGTAGAACATTTGATTATATACTGTTTATGAACTATGTATATTTCATTTCTCTATGTCCTTGCTTATTTTTATCTGCTAACAGGTATTTTTATCAAGTTCTTATTTTTTTAATACTGTTATCTTTATATACTCACCTGTGTGTGCATATGAGTGTGTGTGTGTGTGTGTGTGTGTGTGTGTGTGTGTGTGTGTGTGGTGTGTATTTTAACCATTCACCCTTAAATGCCCCAGGACATTTTACACTGATTTAAAACTATTATCTCATAAACAGTCCATATACAAATTTCATCCATTTTCCAATAATTTCCTATCTATAGTTATTTTTTTTTTCTAATCCAGAATCATACATGTAATTGTCCTATCTCTTTAGTCTCCTTTAATCTCTAAGAATGCCTCAGTCTTTTTGGTCTTTCCTGATATTGTTGATACTGTATTTTGAAGAGTCCAGACCAGCTGCTTTGTAAACTGCCCCTCATTTTGGATGGTTTCAAACTATTGGATGGCCCAGTAGTTTCCTATTACATTCAAGTTATGTATTTTTGGCAGGAATACTGCCTAAGTGATCCCGTGTCCATCGTGGTCCATCACAACAGGAGGTCATGATGTTGGTTTTTCCCATTAGTCATGATATTTATGTGGTTATGGTGGTATCCCCAAGTTTTCTCCACTAAATTCTACAATTTCCCCTTCACGATTATTAAGTAATCTGCGAAGACACGATATGAAACTGTGTACATGTTTTTCACACAATGTGGGTTTAGCACCCATAGATGATTCTTGTCAGCATCACTACTAAGGTTTTTAATTTAGTTCATTTTTTTTTACCTTAACCTGGTAATCTCTATATTAAATGGAAGAATTAATCTTTTCATATTTAGTAAATAAACATACTCTTGACTTTATTTCTTCCATTTTACTTTATACGTGCTAGTTATTTTAAATTGTGGTTACTTGTTTTTCCCCCTTATTTTGCTGTTCTCAGCAGGTTGCTACTCCTTCCATGTTTTCTTCTTGTTGACATGGAAGTCCCACTCTACCTATCTACTGCGTTACTGTTTCTCACCTGTCACCTGCTCTCATGGCAGGCATATATGTTACAAATATTTCTTGAATTCTGGCACACTAATTCCCAATTTAACATCTCATCTATGCACCCTTCTGCATAGTTAAACAAAAACCTTACACTACTCAGTCACTGTCTTCACCTCAACTTTTCTCTCCCCTCTTTGAGTCCTCCAAATCATTTTGCTGCACACACCCAGCACCTGCTAGGTTTTGTTCAGATAATTTAGAATATACCAGAATTTCCTTCTATTTCAAGAGTCCTTCATTTTCTGTTATATTATATAACCCAAAATTATGTAATGTGTGTGTGTGTGTGTGTGTGTGTGTGTGTGTGTGTATCAACAGATTTCCAGGTTCACTGATAATATGTATTTTCTGTGTCTTTCCTTTCCTCTCATATTTTTTGTTTGGTTGAGTCTTTCCTCAAACATTTTCCACAGAAGGGGTATATAGGTGATATATTCCTAAGCATGTCCTTGAACATCTTCCTTTGAGAAACCAGGTGAATATCTGGGCTCAGTAAATAATGCAGGGTTGTAGTCTTTTTCTCTTGATAGGAGTCTCGTGAGGAGTCCCGTGCCAGTCAGGTGTTTCTCCCTTGTAAGTAACTTATTCTCAGGTGCTGCCAAGTGTGGAGTTGGTGAGATGGAGCCACATCAAGTGCAAGGGGAAATTTTAAACCAATAATAAAACCAACTAAATGTCAGACTGGTTTTTAACATTACCATGCACCAACAATTCTAAACAATGTTAGCAATAAAATACTCTGCGAAAAAATTTTCGTTCATCTACATTCTAAATAATTCCTATGGTTAGTGTTGAATTTTAATAATATATGTATGCTTCAAGTTCACACATCTTTATTACTTGTCCCTTAATAAACGATGTACTCTACACGGTACACTACATGAAAGAATAAATTCCAAAACAATAAAGCTATTGGCAGTACGGTAATTTCTGGGAATTTATTGTGAAATGGGAATTTTATATATCTCTGTCTATTAAACATAACTATAAAGCAAAAATCAATTTTGAGAACATCACTAACAAATCCTCAAAAATTAAAGCTTCTTAAGAACAAAAACTGCACTTCATTTCTGTGATAGACTTATATAGATATATATGTTCTTTCCTTTATAAAAAACACATTAATATAATTAAATAGTACTTATCTATCACATTTTTCATTTTGGATATTGTAATATTTATTTATGCTTTTTCCTCATATGTTTATGAGTAAAAGAATCCATAAAAGACCATTTTCACTGTCCACATTTCTCTTCTGGTATTATTATTTGACTAATTCAATGATTAGTACTTAAAAATAATTTGTCATTTAGAGAAGGGGATATTAGGAAAATTACCTACTCCAGGTTTCAAACATATTCATTGTACCACTGCCCCCTTGTTCTGTCTGGAAACAGTATGTAGTGTTTCCTCCTAGTGTATTCCTGCATTTGTGGGTTTTTTGCATCGATTAAAGCTGGACCACATGAGGCCTTGCAATTGGCACACCCACGTTTCTTCATTCCAGGGAAAATTTTTTTCCTATTATTTGTTGAATTATAGCTTGTCCATTTGTTCTTTCTTCTCCATATGGAATTCTTATGATAAGCACATCGGTCCCCCCCAGTATATTCTCCCAATTAATTATCTCTTTTCCCTTGGTGTCTTTCTCATATATTTTTCTGTACTTTGAGCTACTTCTTGCATTTGATTTTCAAGTAATTAATCAACTTGAACTCAAACAACTATCACGCCCTTAATTTCTCCACCTAACTTACAGTTCAAATTACAATTTTTATAATTCAAATTTGAAAGTTTTTTTAACTATATACGTGTAGCATTTATATCTCAAGCACTATTATTATTATTATTATTATTATTATTATTATTATTATTATTATTATTATTATTATTATTGGGGATGTTTCTGTCTCCTAAGCAGTTCTTTTTCACTGTGTTTGTGTTGTGATTTTTGGGTAAATCTTTCTTCCTCTGGCTGCTAGGCTCCCTTGGGTGGGTAGTGGCTTTTCTTTGTTGGCTCACTGGGGCTTAGGTCTGGTTTTTGTTGTGTTAAGTGGTGTAAATCCTGCAGTTGGAAGGCACGGTCTCTCCAGGCTACAAGCTTGTGCTGTAGACATCAGCAAGCCACTGTTTTCCTGCAGAAACAATTAGAAAAAGCCCCGAGAGCTGGACTTCAAGGGCAGGGAGTTTAGTAATCTTACTCAGCTCCATCTTGGCCTTTCAGTAGTCGGGAAGACCCAGTAAAGTCCATGAGAGGTCCCTTGGGAACCACAGTCTGTGTTTGTTCTTCCCAAGTTCTGAGGTTGTCTCCAGGTTCTTGCCTCCCAAGTTTAAACTCAGGCACTGCCCAAGCTCTCGGCGGAGAAAACACCACACCATCCTAGGCTGGGGTCTAAACAAAGCTCCAGGCCTTACCTCCCACCAGGGGCTTATTGGTGCAGGTTCCTTTTGATTTTGGAGAGGCAAGAGAGTTCTGGAGATGGGAGGAGAGTCAGGGTACAGAATTCAGACAGCTTTGATCCCAGAAACACCTTTAAAAATTATTTTAAGAATTGCATCTATTACCTTTAGTTTACATGAGAATTTCACAGAAGAAAAAAACAGCCTTCTATAACTATGACACATACAGGGAATAAGAGAGAGGTTACCAAGAATAAAATACAGTTGTCTCTTGGTATCTGTGTGGGATTGGATAAAAATGTCCACAGATGCTTAAGTTCCTTAATGGCATAGTATTTGCAGATAACCTATGCACATCCTCCCATATATATTAGAACATCCCTAGATTACTTATAGTACTTAATACAGTGTAAATGCTATATAAATAGTTGTTATGCTATATTTTAAATTTTATTTTATTTCTTATTATTGTATTGTTGTTGTTGTTGTTGTTTCTGAGTATTTTTGATTTGTAGTGGGTTGTGGAACATGTGGCTGTGGAGGACCAATCATCAGCAACCTCTATGGATGGAGAAATACAATGTATTATAGTTTGTCCTCTTATGGGTAGAAAATGTCATCTTTACTCAGTCATAAAGATATAAGCCTAGAAGCCACCTCAGAGATTATCTGATTCTTCCCTGTCTTTGTACATCCAGGACTTGGCACATAGTGGGACTTTAATGAATATGGGGTGAATGGATGGATACATCACAGAACAAGTGAATAAGTGAGCCAAGAGGTCACCTGCAAGTGCTTGTGTGACTCTGGGCAAAGCAGCTAAGGGAGCCCGCCTTCCTCATCTGCAGAATGACCAGAAAGCAAAGACAAATGACGTTGTCTTTTGACTTATTAATCACAGGCTAAGAGTCAGATGTGTAAACAGAAAATAAATAATGTGGCAAACAGCAATCCTGAAGGAATACAGAAGGTGCAGGAGAAGGTGGGTGCCTGTGCCATTTCCCTGGTCCTCACCTGGTCCTCCCCTGCTCCTCCTGGCCAGCCACCAGAGTGGGCAGGCCATCACTGACATGGAGAAATTGTTCCCAGGCCATGTAAATTCACGTACTGTGAGTGTTTCTCTGTAGGAATAACCAATCTGACAAAGCCCTGGGCTCTGCTGCCCTGGACACAGCCCACATCCTCAGACAGGACCACTGATCACTCCCAGTCTAACTGCTTTGCTTCTAACTTCCCTTCTGCCTCCGCCTCCACCCCAACACCCAGAGAGAGGGTGAGGGGGCTCTGAGATGGCGGAGAGGAAGCAGTTAGAGGAAAGGGAACAGATGTGTAAAAACCCATGAGAGTCTTTGTCTTGCATCCTCCAGGTTCTGGGTCTACTTAAAAGACAACAGAGGAAAGGGGCAGCACCTGTCAGGTCCACACTCAGGCAGAACCAGCAAGACCAGAGCACGCGTCACACCATCCCATGCTGCCTCGTGTGGTCACTGCTCAGAATAAACATGGGCCGAAGGCAAATGGGACCTCTGAGTTCAGAAAGAAAATACTGCAGACTCTGCCAAGCAAGGTCCGCACGTCTTGTTCCACCCCGACCCCTACAGTGAATGGGCCTAACTTGCTCATGTGGCTGTGGGTGTTAAGCAACTGGAGTTAACAGCTCCTTAAAGTTGGACATGATGGAAACGTCACAACAGAACCAGTGGGATACCAGTTGCATTGATGAGTGTTTTACAGAACACTTTTAATTTTTTGAATAGCTCAAAAATTCTGGTGTAGAATCTATCTTTTTAAGCCCAATACAGCCCATGCAAACCTTCCCTCTGTCCGTTCATTACCATTTTCTCTTAAAAACCTGTAAGTAACTACTACTGTTACAAAGCCCTTTGTCACCAGTTGATGTACCTTAGGAATCCCTCTATTCTCCTTAAATTAATGATATTGGGACTAATGATATTAGGATGTCCCGCTACCTAAAGGGTAGGACATAGCAAGGAACCAGCAGATGCAGCTAGTCAAGAAAAGCCACTAATTCATTAATAAGAATGCAAAGAACTTTCTGGAGATTCTCAGCCAGAAAATACAATGGAGATGTGCTGCCCAGCAGGGGGAGACACACCCCATGAAGCCTCAAGACCCAGAAACTAAATGTGTTCTCACCCAACTTTCTTTCAGGCACAGCCCTGACAACTGTTATGCTAAGCTCTGTATTCCTTGAGTCTTCCGAGGACTAAAAGGCACAAATGACAGCACCTAAAACCAATATTCTGTAAATTACTTAGGCTCACTTTCACATATTTTAAAACCCACTAACACAAACATACAACCATTTTGTTCTCAGCAGTTTATGATCACTACCTGTGTTACACACAAGAGCATGTCTGATGTTTTTAAGGCACAGGGAAGGGGCCAGAGGAACATGGGGATGTGGGACAGGAGACTGGATTGGGAGGGATTATGCGTGGTTCCAACATGCCCCTCAAGCCCCAGGCCGTGGTGCCAAGCTGGTGTGCCCAGCTTTAGAAAGGCAAGCAGAGAAGATTCTTCCCTTTCTAAAGCTCCTGAAAAACTTTCAGGGAAAACCCAGCTTTTCTGAATATGCAGTACTGGAAGAAATACTTGTGGCTTCAAGATAAAACATTTGTCCTCTGGTGTGAAGACGTTTGGGCATTACGCTTCATACCCTGACAACACATCGTAAGAGGTAAAGTTCTTGGTCACGAGGTACCTGTCCCATTTCTTCCTCGTCACTCTGGGTGGGGGCTTAGCTTCCACCTCAGGCTGATCCTCAGAGGGTTCTTTAGGTTCACTTTCAGGCTGAAGTTCTTCCCAGGATTCCTGCTCTTTACTTCCATGAGATATAACTAGAACATAGCTTAGGCCAGTTGTCATAAAAGAAAGGAACTCTTCAAAGTCAGGCTACAAAATAAAATGAAAAACTGCTTACTTCAAGCTCCTGAAATGAATAGACTGAAATAGTGGCTACTACCCAGGTCTAGTGAAATCTTCTCCTTCACCACCACTGCACAGGGGAATTGCATGTTTATAAACCCGGTGTTAACAGATACATTTTTGAGGGCTAGACATTCACAGCTAGCAGGAATTGATCTTAAAGACAGTCTAACACATATTCTCAAACTCTAGGATGCTCCCAAGTCATCTGGAGGGCTTGTTAAAACAGATTTTTGGATCCTAATCCCAGAGCTTCTGATTCAGTAGGTTTAGGGTGGGGCGCAGGAATAGGATTTTCTCACGAGTTCCCAGCTGTTGCTGGTGCAGATGCTCCAACCCTTTCCTTTCACACAGGTGGAATCTGGGTCCAAAAGTGACAGTTTGAGTGGCGCAGTGATTCCACAAAGTGCTATCTGGTAGAACATACTGTGACAATGAGCTTCTTCCCTGCTCTCTCCAATGCATTAGCCACGTGTGGCTATGGAGCACTTGAAATGTGGCTAGTACAACTGAGACTCTGAATTTTTAATATTATTTAGTTTTACTGAATTTAAATTCAAATGGCCACATGTATTTAGTGCCGACCACATTAGACAGTGCATTTCTAGAAGCTAGGTCTCCCAACCCACAAGCCAGTACACTTGCCAACACACAGAACTGCCTTCAGCCAAGAGAGAATCAAAAGAAAATAGCCTGACAGAAAGGCCTGTAGGTAAAGAAAGAATTAAAGCCCTCCTGTGAAGCTTGCGGCAAGGAGCCTTCAACCCAGGATAAAAATCTATAGGAAAAGACTGGATATTTCTTCTAGAGGGATCTTGGCAGATCCTGAGGGGATCTTGGAGGACATAACTTAAAGAGGTCTTCACTCCAAAAAAACAGTATAGCTGCCACTATTTCTACTGGAGATTTCTTCAGAGCCACCATCACCTGTCAGGACACGAACTGAGACACCTGGAGCTTATTTAGTTGGCCAGACTTACTCATTTGCTTTTCTGTAATGAAGATCTAAATCTTATGGGAATACACTATATATATATATATATATATATATATATATATATATATTTTTTTTTTTT